CTCTTTCTTCAGGCCATAAGCTTCACTTATAGGAAATTAAAACCTTATAATCTTTATCATCCTCCTTATTCAGGAAGTTATCAACATAAGCAGATTCTTCAATCATCCCATCAAGGTCTTCATCTTCGTTTTTTCTCCATTCAATTCGGCTTAGGCCATCTGCTCGGTTTTTCTAAATGATTTTTTTTTCCAGTTTAAAATCAGAAATCTAGATGAAGGCAATCCACCTGCTTACTGCTCGATCTACTTGTTGATGCTTTTTAATAGCTTCAATTACAACAGATGCATCAGTCCTCAGGACGAATCTCCTTCTTAGCACGTAATGCATAAAGCACTTGAGATAATGGATGATTATCAATAACTTTTTCTTGAATTGGGTGTCGTCTCTCTCTATAGAGTTAAAAGTCCTGCTTTCAAACCTTGAAGGTTTTTTTCCCATTCTCATCTTTTTGGATAAGTACACCACCAAGAGCTCTGCTCCTCCATCTACCTCGATGATGAAGGGTTTTCCCTCTTCATCATCATAAAAAGACACCCCCAGCACTACACCTCTATCCTTTAATTTTTCTTGTAAAGCTTCTGCGACAATTTGTCGTTTCGCTATCCAGGATAAGTCAGCCCCCTGCCTTACGATCTCTCGTAGAGGCTCCGCAAGGGTAACAAAATGATGAATAAAAATCCTCCAGAATCTACAGATGCCCAAAAAACTTCTCTTGAGGGGCAGGGTTAGGACTCCTACCCTTGGAGAAACATTTAAAGCGTAGGATGATTATTTGTGTTTGAAAGTGAAGGGACTTTGGCCGACTCGCAGTCAGATTATATTTCTGAAGTCTTTCTAGGACCAACTTTACCTCTTCAACATGTTCCTAGACAAACTTCTTGACCCCATCAGCAATCAAAGTCTCGTCTCTTACTATGGGTTTTTTCACATGGTTATCATTAATATAGGGGTTGGTTATCTCAAGGGAAATATCCTGCATGATTTGGATCATATCCCTTTGAACCACTGCCACACCATTGGTCCAACCTTGAGGTACCACGCACATCTGAATGAACCCCCTTGGCGTGTGCATAGCAGTCATTGGCCGACTAGTGGGATCAATGGGGAACTGGTCATAGTCAGAATATAAATCAATTAAAAAATAAATGGATCGACCAACAAAGGATTCAGAAAGGAGGTCAGCATTAGGGAGGCTAACTGCATCACGTACTGTTACGGAGTTGAGCTTCTGAAGATTCTGTATGCATCTCATACCACCTCCTGGTTTCCAAAAGCAAAACCAGTGATTAGCATACGGTCCATCAACAGGTTCAACAAAATTTGAGGCAATCTTCTTATCTAAGTATTTCATCACCTCTACCTCTTCTTTCTATGCATACTTAGTTGGTTTGTCATTCCACGAAATATGATCAACTGTCCAGATTTTTGCTATTGTTACGATCCTGGCCAATTTCGAAGTATACGGTCATCTAAAAGTACAATGCCATCCAATTGCAAAAAGAATGAATGAACTTGAGAGGAAAGAGAGGGAAAAAAGAAGAAGTAAGAAAGAAGAAGAAGATGATGTACTCTAGGATAGACCAATGACAAGGCTCTTCTTCTTCGCTAACCAATTTCTTCCTCATTATCTCCCCCCCTCTTATTCAAACAAGAAATAGCAATAATAATGTTGAATGACTGAACCAGAATGAATGTCCGAATCCCACTTCTACTGCAGGCACAACATGAGGTCCACCATAGCCATGGCCACCCTTCCTCTTCTTCTACATACAGGCCGAGGCTATGGAGGACTACTGAGGCTTCAGCCTCCTGTCCAAAGGACAACCCAAAGCAGCTACGTCGCTGCCCCACTTCAAGGTCATCACCATGCAACTATGCCGCTGCCCACTCAACCGCCATGCCTGACTCTGCCCCGAGCTTCCTTGATGCGGCACTACCCCCACTGGGCCCTTCCAGATGCAGCGCCTAACAAGGTGATGAAGATGGTGTCTGCCATAGCCAGGTGAGTACCCCACCACTCTCCTCCTTGGTCCCCTTCTCCCTCCTCCTCCTTCCGGTAGAGCTCCATCATAGCCAAGGTGGAAGCTCCCGGCTTCTTCCTCCCAGCAGCGTTGTAGTACCCAGCGCCACTCCAGCCAACACTCCAGCAGCGTGTCGCCGAACTTGCACACTGAAGAATGAGGCTAAGCTCTTGCCTCAGCCTCTTGATATAGTGGTCTGCTGGCCTCTTGGGCGGTGACTTCCAGGCCGCTTGGCCTCCCAAGCAACCGGTACCTCCTCCCTTTCAGAGGGAAACATCATTGCAGACTCTGATATTGCCCGTACAGGCTCTAGACTCAGACTGGATGGACTGGTACCCGCCTAGACCTAGCCTACMRCTGCTGGGCCTCTAAAAATGCCAACTTTGTCTTTTTCTCCTTGGCCTCGAGTACCCGGCACATCTACCACTACTGGGTGCGGTACTGGCCTACCTGCTACCTGAGTGTTTTTCCGCTGCTCTAAGCATCGCAGCCCCTCGCTCCGCTACTTGAGTGTTTTCCCTGCTGCAACACTCAATGCCACGGCCACAGGTAAGTACCGGCCCACCAAACAAGCAAGTACCCTTGCAGGTCACACACACACTCATACCGACAAGCACTCAGACAGGCACGCAGGTCACAAGAGCGCACACACAGACAGACTTAGAAAACACAGCAGAATGCGGGAATCTCAGCAAGGCATCCATTCCATCGGCAGAACTTCAGAAATCAGCAGTGTTCTCAGTCTGTGTTTTGACCTGTCATTACACTACCCCCCCCTCAAGAGCGAGGTCCCTTCAAGCGAGTAACTCAATTAGAGTCCTTGCATAGTGCATCGTAAGCGTAGATGGCAAAGAGAGATCGGGTGTGTTCCGTAGGGGTGAGTGTAGCAGTGAATTTCGATTGCTGTTCAGAGCTAATCAATCGTTCATATGCGTTGACGACTCGCGGAGCACTCTGCAGCAAGTCTTTCTTAGCAATCCAGTAGAAGTCATTCAACGGGTGGTAAAGCAAATGTACTTTGTACGGTCTGTTTCTCCCCTTTCCACTATGCTCAACAATTCTATCTACCTCATGACCGCCATTGATTGCGCGAGGAATCATCGATTCTCGATACGAAAATGTTTCAGGTGGTTCATACGAAGACAACTTCGACGCGTGAAAGACTGGATATGTGCGCAGACGAGCAGGCACGTCGATCGTGTAGGAAGGACCAAAGGAATCATTGCCTACTCGGTTCGGCACCTTCCATGGACCGTAGTACTGAGGGAAGAAGCTTTCGTGATACGCTTTCTTCTTCAGAAAACTCAGACATCTTGACCCAAACATAGCTTCCATTGTGAAAGGATCAGGCTAGCGCTTTTTGTTCGCATGTTTAGTCATGGCAGTGCGTCGCTTCTCCATAGTTGCGACAACAACTTTCAGCAAACGATCATACTTAGCGCTGTAGCCTGGCTGGCCAGGTGTTAGGCCAGGCAGTTGTTCAGGGAACAAATAAGATAGAGGATTGCGGATTTTCCATCCAAGATGCAGCCGGTTAGGCGTCATCCGGTGGAGGAGTGGATAGAGTTGTTGTACAACCCTTGCACGATCGACAATTCCTCATCCCAAGAGTTCTGATCAGGCACAATTAAGCCTCGAAGAAGCAGGATCACAGGCTGGTTGATCTCCTCGAGGAGTCCATTGGCTTCGAGATGTCAACCAAATGTCATCTTGAGTTTCATGTCATAGACCTGGGAGGTGAAGTCCTTCCATTCTGCACTTATGAACCTAGTGTCCCGGTCACTCACAAGAGTTTTCGGGGGCCCATACTGTAAAATGTATCTCTTGTGAAATTCTTTGATCACAAGGTCAGTTGGGGCATGAGGTGGTAATGGGATGAGATTCAAAAACTTTGAAAAGCGGTCAACTATCACCATTACTTGCGAATATTCATTTCTACTCTTCTTTCCCATGTCCGTGAAGTCGATGGAAAGAGACTCACCCGGGCCATCAGGAATAGGGAGAGGATGCAACAGTCCGTAGGGTTTCTGCTGAGATGGTTTGATGCGTTGACAAACTTCACACTCCTCCACAAACTTTCGTGCCATTCCCTTCATTCCAGGCCATACAAACTTTTGCAGCAGACTTTCGTATGTCTTCTCAAAACCGAAGTGTCCACTCCGGCCATGAGCCAAGTCCAAGAAGTGAGTAAGGATTGGCTTATGGTTGGGTACACACAGTCGGTCGTGTTTCCCGCACCGTCGGAAAAGTATGCCCTTACATTCATGGAAATTAGGCTCACTGCTAGGGTCAACCCGAATCTGCTCAAGGATGAGACTGAGTTCCGGATCCTTGGCTGTATGCTCAATGAGTTCCTCCCTCAAATTCTTGCGAAAATCATAGGAACCCACCAGACAAGTCATGTACTCAGGATGGCGAGACAACGCATCCGCAACGAGATTGTAACAACCTTTCTTGTGCTTAAGTTCAAAATCATACACATCAATTTCATGCAGCCAGCGGGTCAATGTGGTTGATGGATTAATCTGTGTCTGAATCCATTTCAAGGTCTCGTGGTATGAGAACACCTTGAAATGGCGACCCAAGAGGTAGTGTTTCCAATGATCTAGTGCCTCTCTCAAGGCATAGAGTTCTCGCATGTAAGTGGAAGCAGCTACCTTGTGACTGGGCATGTGTTTGCTGTAATACTCAAGCGGACGTAAGCCATCGTCGTCATCTCGCTGCAGCACTGCAACAATCCCATACAAGCTTGCATCTGTAGTTACTACGAATGTAAGTTTGGGATCTGCAATGCGGAGCACCGGATGACTCACCAAAGCCTCCTTCAATGCTTGGAAGGTTGTTGTGCACTCCCCATCCCATGTGTAGGACACATTCTTACTTGTCAATTTGGACAGCGGACGGGCGATGATAGAGAATTTGGGTACAAACTTACGGTAGTACGACGCAAGACCGAGAAAAGAACGCAGTTCGCGGACATTGGTCGGTTGCGGATGACCTCAACTTTGGTTGCCTCGCGCTCTAGGCCTGCAGCAGACAACCGATGCCCAAGGTAGATGACGATCTCCCTCCCAAACTCAGATTTCTCCAAGTTGAGATGGAGTTGCGCATCCTTGAGGATCTGCAACACCTCCTCAAGGTGTCTCATGTGCTCCTCCATCGATTTGCTGAAGATTAGTATGTCATCCAAATACACAACAACAAATCGGTTGATGTGATTGCGGATCACCTTGTCCATGAGGCTTTGAAAGGTGGCCGGTGCATTCGTGAGACCGAAGGGCATGATAGTAAACTCGTACAACCCGTCGCGAGTTTTGAATGCAGTTTTGTGCTGGTCTGCAGGGTCGACTTCAATCTGGTGGTAGCCAGACTTGAGATCGATCTTGTCGAAGACCTTGCACCCACCTGCAGCATCAAGCAGATCATCAATACGCGGCAAAGGATGTACATTCTTTCTTGTTATTCGATTCAGTCTGCGGTAGTCAATACACTTCCGTAGTTTGCCTCCTTTCTTAGGGACAAACAGAACCAGTGCACCGAATTTGGATTCGCTTGGCTTGATCCGTCCCTTCCCAATGTCATCGATCTGTCTTCGCAACTCCTCCAATTCGCCTAAGCCCATTCGATAGACACAACCTTTTGGAGGAGTGCTCCTTCGATCAACTCGATTTTGTGTCGGACTGGACGCACGGAAACTCCATGCGGTTCAACCAAGACTTCAAGAAATCGGTTGAGAAGGTTGAAGATTTCTGATGGGATCTCCGGAGGTGGATCTTCACTCTCGGGTGCAAGCGTACCGGATTGCATAGGTGCAACCAAAACAACAGAGTTTGAAGCAGAGTCATTTGGACTAGAAGTAGATTTAGTGGAGGCAAAAGTAGTTCCATTAGAAGTCGAAATGGCTTGCAAAGAGAAAGCATTATTTACAGCAAAAATAGAGGCACATGAGCAGGCCTAACAAAGGCTATATACATTTGCTCATCAACTTTTCGCCTGCGCCACTTTTTGCAGAATTGCATTGCATTGAGAAAAGTTACTTGGGACTCGCGCGGCTCATCCAAGAGGATCATCTTTGACCATGAATTGTGAGTCCTTCCACGTGGTTCTTTCACATTGGGCTTGCAACCGGCCCAAGTCAATAACCGCGTCGAAGGGGCACTGATTAAGGACATAGAAGTTCAGTTTATGCGTGATTGTGCGGTCTGTGTCAAAGGTAGTGCGCACACCTTTGACTGCATGCGTAGAGGTGACAACCTCTTGGTTGCCCACTTGGGTCCGACAAGGATTCTGCAAGGTCACTTGCTTCATCCCCAAGCGTGCCTTACGAATGTCGTGCGGTGAGAAGTAGTTGGCGGATGCACCACAATCAGCCAACGCACGAATGTAACGACCATTAATGTAGAGTTTAAAGAAGATCAACTGCGTTCTCCCTTGCACACGTTCTTGCTTCATATGAACCCCGCACGTCAACAGAGCATGGAAGTCAATTTCTTCCGACTCTACCCAAGGCTTCTTGTATACGATGTGTACTTGCTCAGCCTTGGAATGAGCATCAGATGGGGTTTCATGAGAGGTTTGCTAAATGGGATCAGAATCCAGAGAAGGATCTGCACTTATATGTTCAGCCTCTCCATCTGTAGAGTGTGCTGATGATGTCTCTACCCCCGTTGCTGGTTTCCCTGCCGCAATCTGAAACAATGTTGGACTGAATGTCCCGATTTGGTGCAATGCAGGCAAACCCCTTTCTGCACCTTGTGTTTCCACTCACTTTCACTGATTCGGAGATCTACCCATGGTTTTGTGGCAGGATCTTCCGGTTTGGGTGGAATTTTCGCTCCCTTGGGAAGAAGAATAGTATTAGTATTGTTCTTCGTCGTGGTCCTCAGTCCCTTACTTTTGAAGGCAGTCTTCTTGAAGGCATTCATAGATTCATCATCATTTACACACTCAGACTCATGGGCTGACGAAGAGCAAGATGCCTCGCAGCCTTGCTCTTGATCGTCATCAAGAGAAGGGTTGTCTGCGAAGGTCTCCTCGTCATCCTCAAGCAGATCGTGCGCTGAAAAACGGTTGCTGCCTGGAAACCGTTTGTGACTGGTGGACTTTTTGCCACCCGATCCACCCGGGAGGTCTTGTGCCTCCAGCTTGACTAAGTCCCGCATGAGGGTAAGCCAATCTGTATATGCGCTGAGTTCGAGCCCCAGGCGATGTGTTATAGTAGAGGGGACCTCTCACATCCAAGCAAGACTGCGCAGTCATTTCCAAGTCAGGAGTAGAAAAACGTGTACTAACATACTGCTGCAGACTATGCATGGTGTCGGTCCACTTGCTGTGCTTGAGCTTTTCAAGCTTGAGTCTAGCTTTGGCTGCAGCATGTGGATGAGCATACTGTTTGATCAAGAGTTCCTTGAGTGTAGCTACAGGCGTAGCCTTCAGCCATTTGTTCAGGTCTATTCTCTTATAGCCTGCTTGTACAACTTGGATTTCCAATAATCCTCTTACGGTGGGTTCCACATTGGTCCCTAGGACCGACGACTGAGTAACTGGGAGTGTCCCCAACACATCGAAGTAGGATCGCATGGAGTTGATCCAAGATTCGATGTAAGGAAAGCTGCAGCTTGGACCGACGACTGCAACAGTTCCAGAATGCCCTGCACTGCCACTTGTCGCTGCAGCAGCAGCAACAACAACAACAGGGTCTGGATCTGCTGCAGATCCGGATAGGTTGTTAGTCACACTCAAAGAAGAAGAAGAAGTAGAAGAAGACATATTTAGAGGGGCAAGAACGGACTGACACGCAGCACTAGAAGCAGGGTAGGCAGGCGGAAAGACATTTTGGGCAGGCTGCAAGTTAGCAAACTGTTGCAGCTGGTCACGGTGCTGCTGCGCCATCAGGGCCATGTCCTCGCGTAACTTCTTGAGTTCGTCGAACACCTTTGCGATTTGGCCTATATGGTCCTCAGCAGCCCGGATGTCTATCAAAGCCTTGAGTGAAACGGTATTCTCTTCCACCTCCCCGTTAGTTAAGGTGGGCACAGTACTGAAGACAGCCTCGTGAGCCTTCACCTTTTCTTCCCTTTCCTTCTCCTTCTCTTCCTCTTCCCTCTTCAATGCTTTCTCATAGAAGAATCGGTACTGCGCTTTTTCTGCCTCGGGGGCAGCGTCCATTTGCAGCCTCCATTCTGCTGCAAATGCCATAGTGCAGGAGGAGGGTGTTAGCAAGTCTCTCAAGAGGGGTCTGTACTTCTGCACACTTCTGGGATGAACACTCCTCTTCCCTCTCCTCACTCCCTCAAGGGCAACTCTCAGAAGCTTCTCTCTTCTCTCTCTCTCTCTCTTGTTTGCGATCGTGTAGACGCAAACATTTAACGAACCAAGTCCAAGAAACAACTTTGAAAACTATCAGAAGAGAAGGTAGAACTCCTAGCCGGAGCCGCAATTCATTTGGACTGGAGAGCAGTCAAAACAAAAAAAAGAAATAAAGATCAGAGAGATCTGATCCAGCCACACAGTCTGGACCGACTATGTATGAGGTCCTCTCAAGCCTAGTCGGACTCAGCTCCGTGAAGACACAACAAATCAGATTCAAAGTGTACAGCGTAATGCAAGAGAGAATTAAGTGGTGTCCAAGGTGCGAGTTAGGCGGCGGATCGTGTGGTAAAGTCTGATAAAACGTCTCAGCGGAGATCCCCTCCGCAACGAGTGTCCTGGTCCGAAAGCATAAAGTCTGAGTCCCAATCAGATAGAGCAAGGTAACTGACGTCAACAGATTTGGCCTGAGGGGCCCTTCTTGTTTGGGTCTGGTCCCACTGAGTCCCAAACGGTCCTAGTGGAGTCAGAACCGGGTCCCAAGCAACAAGAGTTCCACAAAGACCTACTCTGTCCCTACCGAATTGAAAAACGAAATTTTGCCCCAGAAAGAACCTACAGACTACAGCCGTTCAGAATGAAATAAACAAAGCACTGTAGAGAGATATAGCATGGCAAACAAGATACTCCATTCATTCACTTGTCAGGTGAGTAGGCAGTTCACACACCTCACACACAATCAAGACTATGGAGGATGGAAGAAGAACCCAGAAAACCCCAACAGGTAGTCAATTCCATGCACACACACATGGGCACCCTGGCGGCACTACACTTACCTGAGTGGTCGAGCTCTTGAGATGAAAGAACTTACCCCCCTCTCACATAGTCCTCCTAACCCAATTAGCATCCTCGTCTTCCTTGAAGTCCAGATTCAAGTTGTAGGTGCCCTTCACTGTCGCCTCTCTCAAGTTGCATCACGAAGTCCCACCTTGTGTCTCGCCACCACAAACATGCACTCAAACAACCTGGCCAGGTCTAGTGTCGACCCTACACGGCCCTGCTAGGTGGGAGCAACTTCCCTTTACCACGCTGCCCCACTTAACCCCAACTTCCAGCCCTAACCCTAAGTGGTTAGCCCTTACCACTAGGGTTAAGGTTCTGGGAAAGTCAACTCTCGCCAGCAAGTAGAATCAACTCCGATACCAATGTTACGATCCCGACCAATTTCGAAGTATACATTCATCTGAAAGTACAATGCCATCCAGCTGCAAAAATAAATGAATGAACTTGAGAAGAGAGAGAGGGAAAGAAGAAGAAGAAGAAGTAGGAAAGAAGAAGACGATGATGTACTCCAATGACAAGGCTCTTCTTCTTCGCCAACCAATCTCTTCCTCCTTATCTCCTCCCCTCTTATTCAAACAAGAAATAACAATAATAATGTTGAATGGCTGAACCAGAATGAATGTCCGAATCCCACTTCTACTGCAGGCACAACATTAGGTCCACCATAGCCATGGCCACCCTTCCTCTTCTTCTACATACAGGTCGAGGCTATGGCGGACTACTGAGGCTTCAGCCTCCTGTCCAAAGGACAACCCAAAGTAGCTATGTCGCTGCCCCACTTCAAGGTCATCACCATGCAGCTATGCCTATGTCCACTCAACCGCCATGCCTGACTCTGCCCCGAGCTTCCTTGATGCGGCACTACCCCACTGGGCCCTTCCAGATGCAGCGCCTAACAAGGTGATGAAGATGGTGTCTGCCATAGCCAGGTAAGTACTCCACCACTCTCCTCCTTGGTCCCCTTCTCCCTCCTCCTCCTTCCGGTAGAGCTCCACCATAGCCAAGGTGGAAGCTCCCGGCTTCTTCCTCCCAGCAGCATTGTAGTACCCAGCGCCACTCCAGCCAGCGCTCCAGCAGCATGTCGCCAAACTTGCACATTGAAGAATGAGGCTGAGCTCTTGCCTCAGCCTCTTGATATAGTGGCCTGCTTGCCTCTTGGGCGATGACTTCCAGGCCGCTTGGCCTCCCAAGCAACCGGTACCTCCTCCCTTTCGGAGGGAAACATCATTGCAGACTCTGATATTGCCCGTACAAGCTCTAGATGGACTGGTACCAGCCTAGACCTAGCCTACCGCTACTGGGCCTCTAAAAATGCCAACTTTGTCTTTTTTCTGCTCGGCCTCGAGTACCCGGCACATCTACCGCTACTGGGTGCAGTACCGGCCTACCTGCTACCTGAGTGTTTTTCCGCTGCTCTAAGCACTGCGGGCCCCAGGCTCCGCTACTTGAGTGTTTTCCTGCTGCAACCCTCAATGCCACGGCTACAGGTAAGTACCGGCCCTACGGGCCCACCAAACAAGCAAGTACCCTTGCGAGTCACACACACACTCATACCGACAAGCACTCAGACAGACACGCAGGTTACAAGCACGCACACAGAGACAGACTTAGAAAACACAGCAGAATGCGGGAATCTCAACAAGGCATCCATTCCATAGGCAGAACTTCAGAAATCAGCAGTGTTCTTAGTTTGTGTTTTGACGGGTCATTACACTATCTTGATCATGTCCACATCCAACCGCCCTCTCTCTTCGTCATTACAGGAGAATGCATCGAAGAATTATCGACACACTTTGAAGATATATATCCCTTTTCTTTAGGCCAGATAAACTGATCCGAACCTATCTTCATTGTGTCAATTTTTTCCCTAGTAACTCTATTCCCCAATTTTGTTAACTCCCCTAGTGCTTTAATAATTCTCCTTTCCTTTCCAAGTGCTTTATCATAATCCTTTTCTATCAGAACGACCACTGGGTTCTTTTTCACCCCATTGGGCTTGTACTTTTCATTTGACCAGTGACTATTTTCCTAAAAAAGGATGAGTTGATGCAAACCTTAACTCCATTTTATCACTTTTAGCAGTTTCAACAACCTTTTTGGATGCCTCGATTTGCCTATCTTCATCTTTGAGTTTGCCGAGGGCTTTCATCATCTTTGAAATCTGATAAATGTTCATTGAGACTTCCTCTTTGACTTCTTGCTTGCCTTTCCCTTTTTGTTTCCTAGTCTTCTCAATAAATTTTTCCCTTCTGATTGAATCAGTCGATAACTGGTGTTTATGATGGTGGGAAGTGCAGACCATAAAGGTCTGTTCCTGGGCAGTCTCTGGATCCTGCAGGCCGATGCAGGATGACCCCTCGTGACTAAAGAACTGAACAACATCCATCCTATGCAAAAATGGAATGTCGATGATACAATCATGATCCAAATCTGGCACTACAAACCCTGATAATTCAACCGACATCGTTCCAATTCTGATAGGCAAATTATCAATAAACCCAACCACGAAAAGTTATCCAACAATATTGCTTAATATGTGTTCTTTGAAGGTCTATCAATGGTCAAATCACAGACCTCCATAGTCCTCTGGGAAAGAAAAACCATTTCTGCCCCAGAGTCTACCAAGACCCGAATCTTCACTTGGTATGTAAATAGTTGAGTCTCCACAACCCGTGGTTACAAATCTCATCTTGCATCCTAATAATGATCTGTTCACTTGGCTAGGGAAAACCGATCCCAAGTAGTTGACCTCCATCTTTTTCTTTTTAATTAACTTCTTTTGTTCTTCTCTCAACTTGGGTGCTAAAGTCATTGTTTCTTTGAAAGATAGAGTTACTTTTGTTTCCTCTAACATCTTTGTGATCACATCAGTGATTACAGTCCTATCTTCCAGTTCACTCTTGAGGATGAACTTTCTCTTTTTCCCTTGTTCATTTTTTCAAGATGGTCGGTTTGGTTCTTGATCATCAAGAATGTCATTGAGAGTCTCTTCGACTTTTCTTCTCTTCTTTTCCTCAATCATCTGAGGGGTTAAGTATGCTTGGAGATTTCTCACCTCTCCAACCACTATACTGAGCTCCATGACGAGTTCTGGTGGTAGATCACCGTCAAAAGACATCATGTTGACTGAACAACAAGCGGGTTCATCAGAAGAAGACACTACTAACTTGGAAGAGCTCTAAGAAACAGGGTTTTCTTTTAATGAAAGCTCGCTTGGGGAAGCCTCATCAGACATGTCTTCCACTAATGTCAAGGACTGTAGAGGCAATTCAATCATGGTGGAAGAATCATCAAATTTCTGCACAAGCTCTTCAGGAAACTCATCAACAAGAAAATGAACAGTTACATTAACTTTTCTCTTTTTCTTCTTCTTCATCTTCTCTTCATGCTTAAGGACAAAAAGTCACATACCTCCTGGATGTCCGGGATCCAGTTTATTCTATGAACTGTCACAGACATGGCCCATTACATCCTTCTTGGCTACCCTACTCTTCACATCCTTTTCCAAAGGCTTATAATAAGTTGTGGTATGACCCCCTTCACCGCAATAGTAGCAGACAAAGCTCTTCATTCGACGATCATCATATTTCCTTCTCTCTTTGTTCTCTTTTCCACCATCCCCTCCATTTTTTCTGGATCTGGATGAGTCTCCTCTTTTTCCATAGCCATCATCATCATCATGATCGTCTTCCTCATTCTCACTTTCTGCCTTTTTCTTCCCTTTCTCATCCACAATTAGATTAGAAGCTCGCTGAATAATATTTTCAACACTTAGATTGTTTCCTCTGTTCATACTATTATCGGTCTCATAGTCTTTGGCCAATGTACTGATCTGATCCAGTGATCACTTCTTGTGTGAAATTGTAGGTAGAGTTCTAACTATTGCAACCATTTCGTGCCATCTGAGAGGGTAATGTTGAGCTTGATTCAGGACTGTCTTCCTTTCATTGTCAGTGAAGTTAGTCAGAAAGATATGACATTTTCGTCCAAATATGAAATTATTTTGGTCGTTCTGATAAATGTCTGAAGGAAAATATTGAAAGTATCATACTTAGCCCTTCTGATGTTGAAGAGATCCTTGGTAGTAGTCGTAACTGAGTCTTTCTTAAATTATCTTTTCATTCTCTCTTTAACATCTTCCCATGTTGTGGCCCCTTCCATCCACTCTTTGACAACCGATCTCGAGTTAGTGTCATAGCATGATAGAAGGTGCTTAAGTCGATGTTTATCTATCCAACCATAACTGAGCCCAAATAATTCATATTCATAAAAAAAATCATTTACTTGAGTCCCTCTGAAGCATGAAATTCTCTCATCTGGTCTCTTTGCTCTTGCAACATCCGAACCTTTTTTTATAGTGTCGACTCTCTCGACCAACTCCCATATGGCACCCACCTGGGTTTCCTCACGAGTTCCTACAGAGGAACTAGGCCTTAAACTAGGCCTTCCTCGTTCAGACATTTTGATCATAAACTCTTTCCCGGTATTTCCTTTTCTCTTCTTTGCCGCTCTTGACCACATCTTTCCGCACTATCAATTTCTTACTCTTCTCGCAAGGGATACAAGTTTGTTTCTCTCCTCTCTTGTTAGTTATACCCCTTGGGAATTTTGTATGTAGAGAGTGTAGGCAATAACAGTCTGAGTAGTGATCAGAGGTAAGACAATTCTTCTTAGTCTCCCACTATAATCCTCAATCAGTTCTCTCTCGTCATCCCTACTCGGTCTTCTGTTATATCCCTTCACAGTACCCCAGATCATAAAGTACCTCGTCAGATCTATAATCTCCTAATCAAATTGCATGGTTTATGGACCGCTGGTGATTCTTCTGGCAAGAGAGACTCATTTTCTGGAGGAGTGATAAGATATTCTCTCAGTTGTCCCCACTCTTACTATCTTCAACAAATAGTTGATCTCAGTTTGGTCAGTGACGGCCCTCAAGGCAGAGTCTCTTATCCGATCAACAAAGGGTTGTAAGAACTCAAGCTCATCCAAAGTAGAGAGACTTTTGTCTTGGATAAGATGCGAAGAGTGTCTTCCGTCTTGACTACCCTCCAATACAACCCCAAATGTTAGCTGTTCAACTGAGCCAGGCATTATTGATCATTACAGATAGTGTCAGAAAAGGTAGATCTCGGGATGAATATAGTCAGAGATCTCACCACAAAGGTATTTAGAAGTAAGGACTTTATCACCACTGTGGAGTCACTCTCCCTCGCGTTACCTACTATGGCAATAACTTCTAGGAGAGGCAACCAGTCTCTCCTGTCATCAAAGCCATCAGTAGTTGAGAAGCTAGGGAGTCTCTCAAACTGCCTCACTCCCTTTCCCCATGTTACTTTTCTCTGTAACTTTTCAAGCCACTCTTTCGTTCTTATAAGGATGATGTAAGCCCCTGTACAACATTCCAAGTAATCAGCTTCCTTTTCTAGACATGCCGGGGTGTAAATTCTTACGTCCAAGCTGTCAGTGTTCATAAATTTGACCACTAGAATGTGAAATATTATACGACCTCTTACACAAGTCTCATATGTCATAATTATAAAGGGATTATCGAGCCGAGTCGCATTGTTAAGTCTGCCTTTCACAACAGTTATTCTTGCTACTGAGAGTGTTCTTCTTGAGACCTCTTCACCTTCCATACAAAATCTACCATGGCTGACCAATTTTCCCTCAAAAGGTGAAACTCTTCAACAGGAGGAGACAATATTCCAATGAAAGGTCTAACATAGGTACTCCAAGAGAAACTCTCCCCTTCCTGTTCAAGTTTTATTCTCTCGTCTTGCACAATATCTACTGCTCGTTCCGAGCATCGATCGTGTTTACACCCTTCGAACCCATGTTGTGGCACATAGATTCCAACATCAAACTCATCGAGCTCAGTTAGTAGCAGATAAGAACATATACACTGTCGTGTCCCATCCCAGATTCTTCATGTACAATCTCATAGGAAAACACAACTTTCCTTGTTATAGAGTTAAGGGAAGTTAGGAGTTTCTCCGATTCCTCCTTACTCAACCTCCCATGTCCTCTTCCCATGAACCAGGGTCTTACTTTTGGAGGCACGTACGACTGACTCATTAGTGCCTTTGATCTCTTCTCACTCTCAGTGGAAACTCAATCACAGCGGACCAATTGTTCCTTGACAGACTAATACCAGGTAGAGGAGGAGTTGGAAATCCCTCAAAGACAGAAGCTGAGTGGATCCGGTGAAGCACTTATTTTCCTTCTCAAGCTCCCCTTTTTCTTTCAACGCAACTTCCTCAGCAAATTCCCAACATTTCTCATACACAACATCAACACTTCTCTCTTTGGGAACATAGATCCTCACATCATACATGTCCAACTCGATGAAGTGAAATGTCAGAATATAAAATTGTTCTTGTTCCCATCCACTTTCGATCATCTCATACTTGACAACTTCATAAGGGAACACTTCTCCCTTATCTAAAACATTCAATGATTTCAAGAGGCATTAAACATTCTCTTTACTTGGGCCTAAACCTCTGCCAAATTCCGATCTTCGTTGTCCGATTTCCTCTGTTGAAATTTTCTTCGTTCACATGACAACCCGTTCATTTCCCTCACTTCAGCACCATGTTGATAATTGGTAGCCAATTACTCCCACCACAATAACTGTTAGGAATAGGAGGGATAGGGGTTGTCTCATATGTCACTGACATTACACCCCATTCCACTTTCTTCTTTCGCTTGATTAGATCTGCCTTTTCATCGTAAATAAATTGAGCAACAATTTCTCATAACTAGTTAAAGTTCTCACCATCAGTGCAGCCTCCCTCCTTTGATGTAAGTACGAATATCAGAGATATCTCCTTCCAGGAAGCGAGGCAGCACTATACAGATGGTTAAACCATGAGAATGGTAAACCCAACAACCCTCATACCGATAGGGGAGTACCCCCTTAGAAGTGAGTTTAGAAAGCTCTTTCAACGCATTGTCGACTAACATTGCCCGAATCTGAATTGTTATCTTCTCCTCTAGTTTCTCGCAATGGTCAAGGGCATGTAGAGCATACCTGTGATCAAGCCTAATTCTCTCCATTAAATAATGCCAGTCTCCTCCTCCAGTCCAGTGTGGTACCTCACACATGAAGAGATAAGACACAATCAGTAACTAGGACTTCCAACGGAATAATGACTCAAAGAGGATTGCAAGATCAGTCTGAGAATTCGAATATTATCAACAGTTCTCAAACCCTAATCAAAGCTCAAAGTTGTTGCTGACCCGTCTCGTTCCGGACACAAAAACTTTTTATGTTACCGGCAACAGTGCCATTTTTGTGGCACTTTTTCTAGTCAGGCCTCTTCAAGGGACCAGAAAGCCAACAGGATGTCACGCATAATTTTGGTGATGTTTGCAATAAATAAAGTCAATTAACTAAAACAAATCCCTTCGTGTTGTGTGTGTCAGACTTTCCGTGAGACCCTTCAATTGCAGTCTTCGTCGGTCCCCGGTCTTAGGAATCTTTTATTTTGATTCAAAACAACAAAGTCATGTAAACGATAATTATGAAATTTTGGTGTGTCATGCGTGCATAAATTTTGGCAATTTGCTAGTTTTGAGAATTGTGACAAGATCATCAGAGAAACACGATCATCAATAAGAGTCAACGCAAGTGAAGCAAGACCAACTGACTCGAGTAATGAAAATGATAAATGAGGGAAGAATGAGAACTAATAATAATCTCAGAAAGTACAGATGAAAGGAGCACGACCGACACTTGTCGAGAGTCCTCACTCATCCCTCTTGGTCATACACTCAAACTCTCATTTTGTTGTACGTTTTCCGTGCTTTGAGCCATGATCTCGTACTCCCTGAGATTGTGGCCTCTTGGTATAGAGCCACCCAAAGCCTACAAGTTCCGAACACTTCCATCAAAGGGCCATGACGTGAAAGTCGACCATAGAGCAAAACTCTTCCCATAATGTAGGGAGATACGACTACGAGAAGATCCCTGGTCTGAGATGTCGAAACTCAGAGGGTTCAATCAGTGCCTCGTAGTCAATCTTTGCAGGCGAGATGTACCTCCCAGCTAGATCAACCAAGTCACCCCAACAAGAGTCGTCTGTGAGAGGAAAGGGGACAGGAGGTCTGGGGTAATCAGTGTAGCGCTTCAGTCCAAAGTTGCGGACCAACTTGACAACACTCTCATCGAGCTCCGTCTCTTTTCCCTCAAGGTATCTGGTGGTTGTGACCCAGACTGAGTCAAGGTGCTCATGGGTTTCTTTCCCCTTCCTCAGGTAGACTCTCGGGTCATGGATGGTACCTCCCACAAACTCGGTGTGAACCACAAAGGCTGACAAGTCTCCTCGCCTAAAACTGATTGCACTGACGTATCGGTATTGGAAGGCATCCTTGAGTGCAATCCTGTTGAGACTAGTCAACACTAACTCATTAACTGGAGAGGCCTAAATTACACTCATGTGCAGAGATGGATGCTGAAACTGATCTCTGCGTCTTTTTGATGAGCACACTGTCTGACTGATACTGGTCTCTGAATCGAATGACAATAACTGAAGGCAAATTGATTTTGACCGGGAGTCCCAAGTAACTAGGATGACTGAATGTTGCTAAGATAATAGGTCACTGAATGTTGATCTCTTAGTAGCAGAAACGCTAAGGGAACTGCAGATTGCGGGGTGACTTCGATAGTTGAAAATTCTGGAGGGGAAACATGTGCTCTTTGCACTCACCTAAGCCTTGTACTGGCTTGTTCAACAGTTTCTAGAAAGGAGAGAGTGTCGTGCGGTTTGCCATCGTGATCGTGGAATTGGATGACGTAGTCGATATATTTCTCCTCCCTGATTCTACTAACTGCAATCTCCGTCAGAACAGGTTTGTTGTGCTCCATGTCTCGAATTGCTTTTGTTTCCCAACCTTCATGCTTGTCCCGAATGATGATGCCTTTGACTTCTAACACTTCTGCATCCCTCAGGTTCCTTTATCTCTCTCTCTCTGAGATCCGAAGTTCAGATAGATGCAAGGATGAGAGGAGGGATGGTTTGCTGTCTAACAACTCTGTATGGAGATAATCAGTAGTTCTTCAAATCCGGTCTGTCAAGTGCCTCTCTCATCTCGCTTTCTGAGGGTTCGTGTTGTGTGCACCCACCGGCTAGCAACCAGCAGTAGCTCTGCTTCCGCCACTTTTAACTTTGTTATGGTGGGGGATACTCAGTATACCCAAGTGTGTGGTGGCCTCACGCCTCACGGTGGAAAGAAGTCTCGCCCGTCCAGTGGTCACTGTCCATAAAGGATGGTAAACGTTGAGTTAGTGCGTTTCCCAAGCAACACAATGTCCTGTTGAAAACTGTTGTCGATTCTCCCGGCTTGCGTCGCAGGGTGTTACTGGTCACTGTGTTTATTCAGACGCAGTATGGGGTGCTATCAGGTACTACCCCAGTTTGTGCGCAGTGCAGAATTTCGCAGAGAACATTAGGTAGCCAATGCTCGGCATGAGAAGGAAAGAGTGAAAGTCATCCTAAGCCATTTAAAAGGATCCACACTGATTTTCAAACTAGATTCTCGGTTAACCTAGTAGAGGCAACGTTAAGCAAACCACGAGTACTCTTTGGGCCTTGAATGCCTGTCAGAATAATTGTTGTCCAGTCACCGTCAAACATATATTTAGCCAGTAGGTGGGCAATCTTCCCTAAAACAGACCGCCTTCGACTCATTGACCATGGACAGATGAACAAACAAGAATGAGGTTTGCATTCGAAGTCCAATGAGCCCCTACAGTCATCATGCCCTGTTTTCTTTAACTCACGCTGATTGTCCAAACATGATCGATACCCTCAAGGCTTGCCAATTTAAGCCTAAACTTTACCGAATAAGGACTAGTCGTACAAGGATTTTTCCTAGGCATCTTGGCGAGAGGGAGGTGAGAAAGCAGATGAGTCAGAGTGGATAAATAAATTCCTTATCCAAGCAGCTCAATCCTGGGCATTGTCACCACCAGAGTCTCAATACTAGAGACGAAGTCTCCCATCGGATGGACCCCCTCGTACACTAATCGCTCACCATCTTGCAAACTTTGTTTTTATCACCCAGTCACTTCGTGACATCTGAAATGTGATCCCACCGGGGACGCTCAAAGGAGAATAGTCAAACTCGAGCCTGAATAGCTGCCTACAACGTACAGTGACTTCAGCGTTATAGACATTCAGATCATTTTCAATGCCGCGCGCAGAATCTTTGTCCTCCTCCCCATCGATGACTAATGCCATTCACACTAGCAAAGACCACCTCCGGCTCAATCGACGGTAACGAGTTAGCGCTGATTACATCACAATGAAACATCACCAGCCTCATAATATGAGTGTGTGTCTCTCAACTGTCATAAGGTACTCCCTTGGTGCAGCCCCACACGGTGACGCGCCTGCATTATCAGGACTAATGTCGAGGGGCTCATCGTCAACCGAAGAGTTGTGCAAAAGTTCTCCCTCTCTCTCCCGCCTGACTCCATCTGCCCACACGTCACTTTCCTGTCGCACTCTCACGTCACCACTCTCATTGTGTCCTCCCTCATTGCGTCCTCCCTCGCCGCACATAACCCCGTCTTGTCGGAGCCTCTTTAGTCTTTCTCATGCAAGGCACCAGCCTATGAGTGCGCTGGCCATCGAGCATGTTGACATTGTATGTCTATTATTATTGTTTTGTATCACTAACCCCATTCGGTTCCCTGCGATAATCAGGTGAAACTGATTGGTGAGATGGGTCATTCAAAGAGGAGGGTGACCCCAACCACGTACTCGTGCGTAGCGTTCTCGCTTGGGCTCGAGCATGAACACTCTTTCACGCAGTCACGCAGCAAAAGCTCCGTTAGCTTTCTGATGATCTTCTCGGTTTGGCAGACACAAAGTGTTACTGACTCCGTTCAGGGGCTGCGAACGCGCTCTACGCAAGGGAGGTCTTGACGTCAACAGCGACGTCTACTGTCTTGGAACACGCTAGTCTGGTCTCCCTCTCTTTCTCTCGATCGCCCTTGCCCATGCCCCTATAGCCGTTTTTCGCTCTCTCAAAGACCCGTCGACAGGCGTAGACCCCTGAGCCTCGCCTCTCTGTCGTTCTTGAATGTGACTCGCGGACGTCCCTGTTCTGTAACTGCCTAGCCCTCTCAGTCTTGTCGTTGCTGTGAGTTGGCCTCCGAGCCGCTCTCTACAGGCCCAGCCGGCGGGCGATCCCGCCTCCCTTGTTCCAGTTCGTGCCAGGACTGAGTCTCCGCCCCTAGATCACTGGCCTCATTCTCAGCCTCTAAATCGCAGTCTAGATGCGCTGTTCGCGCTCCACCGTATCAGTGGAGGTCTCCACCTCATGATACGTGATTGTTACCTGCATCTCCGCCGTGACCCCATCCCTTCGGCAACTTCTTTTGGCCCTGTTCTTTGCCTCTGTGACCGCAGCCCGTAGTTTCGGGTTGTCTCTCA